GGGGGGGGGGGGGGGTTATAAATTCAGTTTTTGAGCTGTTACGCGAAATGCGAAATTTGTTCCACAAAAACTGTTTTACAACATTTTTTAAAAATTGAGTATATTGGAATAAATTACTAGTACTTTTAAAATGCAAAATTTCAGAAAAATTGATCGAAGGAAAAAAGTTATTGCATTACAAAGTTGCGCGGTGAAAACATCTTTTGTTGACGTGTAAACTGATTTCAGCTCAGTGTTTCGGCTCGACAAGATTACGTCATTTCGTTACCAGTCCCATGCTTAAACAACTGTAGGGAGCCACCTTAAGCGGCTGAAGTTTGCAATATAGCAAGTAACATACGATTCTATACAATGCATGCCAATTATGCCGCAACATACGCATTTTATAACAGCTCTATTGATAAAGTTTTAACTGACAAAGTTTTAAACAATTAGATTTGATCTAGTTATAATGGACAACTTGCATGTTAGACTAAATTTTAATCTAGGTAAAGAGAAGGGAATAAAACAAAACAGTTAAAAAGAACAAAATGAAATTAGTAAAATTGCAAAATTTGGTTGCGAAATGTTGTAAAATACAGAAAATATAGCCTTGCGAAGTCAACCTCGTTCCCAGGCTCTTTGTTTGCATATTTTCAGTGTATTTGTATTACGTGCGGAAATTGTTACCATTTTCGGCTCAAAAATGGTAACAATTTCTGCACGTAATACAAACATACTGAAAACATGCAAACTTCGCAAGGCTATATTTTCTGTATTTTACAACATTTCGTAACCAAATTTTGCAATTTTTGCTGATTTTAATAAGTTCTTTACGGGAATTTACTTTTTTTTGGCTAAATCAAAAATTAGTCTAACGTGCAAGTTGTCTATTGTACATTAAACAACAACGCCAATCGCGACATGACCGATTATATTAGAAAAAGTATCTAATGTCAGTCAAATGGCACAACTCGGGACTCTTTCAAATGACCCATGTTCTGAATTCGCATAACTTCGCATAAAACGGTTTCTGACAAGTGAATCAATAACTTTATGCGATGAAGATATATAATTTATTAGTAAATGCATGTATTGACCATGAAAAAAGCCAGTCATAAATTAATATCGGAGATCTTTTGCAAGGAGCAAATATTCAGACTGTAGTCTGTAAAGTCAGTTTTTCTTCGGTATAGCTCCTTCGTTTTCTTTGCTGTACGTTGTTTTTGCACCCAAGATCGAGTGATTTCCTAGCGTGACGTAATATTCCCGCGTGACTGCAAGACGTGAATACAGGGGAAAATTCAACAGACCCTGGGAACGAAGTTGAGAAAAATTCGAACTTGTGAAATAAATAACTCGAGCGAATAAATAAAATCAAAAACTTACATTTCCGTAATTTGTCGTCGTAATCAGAATATGGTCGCGAATGATGTATTTTGTATTAGTATACGATTGCTGGCACAATTTGAAGCCATGTCAGCTCAGGGCATCATTAGGGCCATTTATACGGGACAAAATAAGTCGCGACTTACATAGGACGCGACTTAAATAAGTGGAGTTATCGCATAAATGGTTCTCGACGGCTTTGGTCTTATTTATTTGCTATAGCTATAATGTTGTTTTGGTTGTTTTTGTTTTAATATGCAAGGCATTAAATTTTACGTTGTTTCAAGTTTCTGGCATGTGTAGTTAGACTTTTTGTCCGAAATTTCTTATTTAAGACGCGACTTAAATAAGAACAGCTAAAAGACCTGTTCTTATGTAAGACGCGTCTTATCCAAGACGCGTCTTGCATAAGAATTTTGTACCTTTTATACGACAAACTCGCGTCTTACTTCTGAAGTCGCGTCTTATGTAAGTCGCGTCTTATTTTGTTCCGTATAAATGGCCCTATTGTCTCTTTGGCGTACCATCTTAAATCTCTTCATTTTAGCATAATTTTACAGAGAGAGCACTAAACATGCTTTTTAAGTTTGTTTTCCCTAGAGAAACGTATCATAACGCATATTCATTAGTTTTGAGCACGTGTTGCGTAACATACAAAACATTCCCCTCTTAATTTGATTAATAATAATAATAATAATAATAAATAGTTTAACAAAACGCTTTGCAGTTACAAAACTGAATTACACGCTTAATGAAACTTATACTGAACTACATACATATATTTAGTTAGCTGGTTCAGTTCTATCAATATTCAATACATAATTGTTCATGCAAATATAGGCCTTTAATAATACATTATTTGACCTAAAAAGCTATGGTAATTATATGTGAAAAATGTAATCAATAAGCTTTGCTATCGACGACCATTTGGCCTTGACCAGCAGGTGGATCATAAGGTGGTGGCTGTTGGCTGTAGGCCGGGTATGCTTGTGTGGTCATCACCACGGGTGGCTGCTGGTTGTTAGTCGAGTGTGCTTGTGCGGTAATCAATATTGTATTTGGTTGCTGACCTGTTGTGACGATAAAAGTTGGTTCCTATTAAGAATAAAGATATATTATTTTTGTGAAAAATCATATTTCTTCTATTTACACTTCAAAAACACTCTGGTTAAAATTGCCTGGTTAACTCAGAAATAACGCTATTATGTCTTTAAATTCCTGGTTACTTTATCTCACTTTATTGAAACCACGAATCTGGTTATATTTGACCAAGACGTTCTGGCATGTTAAAGTA